ATAATCTGAAAAAAATATATTATCAATATTTATATATATGTTTGACATAATAATACTGTCAATGTACCAATTCCTGAATGAGGCTTCCTGAACAGCTGATTGAACATAGAACTGCGTACATTATCAAATAATCGATGTTCACGATATGTTCACTACTTTGTAATATGCATCATATGAATGCTCAATTTCATAAATAACTATGATACATTCGCGAAAGAATTTTTTTTTTAAAGACATAATCATTGACTCGATTGCAGTCATAATAACATAATAAACAAAAGTAGGATTTATGCTATGATCAATCATTTTTGAAAATCAATTTATTTGTTTAGTATAAAAACGCATTACCATTGAGAAAGAAGTTATAATATATAAAATGATAATATATAATTATTAATAATAATATATAAATGTTAATAATAATTAGGATGCTATTAAGATTTTTTTTTACAAAAATAAATTACAAAATATAAATGTGTAAATATAGAAATATTATATGAAAATATTTTTAAGCTTAAAAGTTAATTTCAAAAGTTTTACATTCTTTTTTAATAACACTTCTTTTTTAATAATATTTGTTACTTTATGTAATATTTATTATATATGAATATAGTACAAGTTTTAACGAGAATGATACAGAAAACAAAAAAAAAAATCAAAAGGAAAAGAAAGAATTAAATTTATAATTTATTGCGAGAGTCATAAATAAGTAATTCTATTTTTTGAAAATGCATATATAATCTATATTATATATTATATGATAATTCTTTGTAATATTGTATTTGATTCATTAATGATTTTAACTCATTTTTTCTGACAAATAGTAAAATTCGATAATTGATTGTAACTTTCTAATATTACCATCATTATTTGCCACATTATTTGTCAAATAGAAAATGCAAAGAATATTGATTTTTATTATTTCATTTCATTTTATTCCATTTTAATCTATTCATTATTATAGATAAATTTTCTAAGATTGTTATTTTTATCTATTTTTGATAATTATTTGTTTTAAGATTTTCAATTTAGAAATGATAATCATTATAAATTAAAACTAAAATTAAAATTTTCTTTAGTATTTTTTTTTGGAATTATATCAACAAATATTTCGATATATTTCTATAAAATTTTATGAAATTTAATGAAATATATAAAAAATGTTTATTATGGCAAAAATATCTATAAATATTCTCGATAACGTTTCTTCATATAATATAGATATATTAAAAGAATCTTTGAAAAAATTATTTTTATAATTTGATTATTTACTTTTTAATATTGAGATAATAACTACATCATAAAATAAGAAAAAGGAAAGTACTTAACAATACTATATTAAAATAAGATAAGAATTTTTTGAAATTATTATATATTGAATTATTTGAAATTATTATAATATATGTCGAACAAAAAATTGAAAATTTGATAGAATCAAAAATCCTATCATTAATCGATCATATTTTCGATAATCGATAATCGATAATAAATATTTTCTTTCGAATAAAGTTATTTTCATAAATCATGAGAAATTAAATAAATATTGTGTATATATAATTACGAATATTTATTTGATGAAAAACATTGCAAAAAAAAAATCGATTTGTTCAATTTAGAATGAAATTACATATATATTTTAATAATTCATTTAAATTTAATTGTCTTGAATAACTAAATTTTCATTATATTTTAGAATGCATTTGTATGAAGTAAAAAAGGAAGTAAATTCGCTTAATGAAAACATTGCGATTATTAAATGATATTTCCAACTCAAATAATTATCATTACCGGTTCCTGTTTATTATAGATATAAAGATTTAGTTCATTATTTTAATTTTTTTTAATTCTTTTTTAAATTAAGAGATAAAAATTCTATCAAAAATATAAAATTATAATAATTATGTATATATATTTTATATATTTTGTATGAAGTAAAAAAGGAAGTATTATATATATTTATATTTTTCTTTGACTTCAAATGATATCTAATAAATATTCTATAATGATTCTATAAATATATTTTATAGAAAAATAAATTTAGTCTAACCTTCAACTAATAAAATTACGAAGTGAATATGTACATAGATATAATATAATAAAACCTTGGATGATTGAAAGTAAAATATACTATATTTATGATTAAAAGAAGTTGTAATAAATACATCTTGTTTTAACAAGAAGAAAAGTTTATCTCTTTGATGATACAGAAAAATATTTTTCTTCAAGAAATACTTTTCTATGATATTATTAAATTGTTCATGAAACGACATTGTGCAAAATAAATAGCGTTTTTCAAGGACATATGTGAGGACAAATGCATAATTTGTTTCTCTTTAACATTCTAGATGTTACTATTGCATTTTCTACGTGCATTATTTGTAGATAATTTCTTTAAATATTTATCATGAAAATTATTATCTATTTTTATTTTTAGTTTATTATCTCATTTATAATTTTAATTATAAATTAATTCATAATTTTTTATTGTGTGTATAATATATTATATAATTTATTAAATGCATTTTATATATTTAAATGAAAATGGATACTTTAAATGAAAACTTTTATTATAAAACTATTAGGATTTGAATAATAAATAATGATAATAAAACTATTTTCATTTGAGTAGTACTTAGGAATTATCAATCATTAAATTAAAATGATATATCAATCAATATTATGTAATTAAAGTAATTCTTTATGAAATAAATTAAAAATTAATTCTTAATGAAAGCTTGTAATTATATTGCTATATTTATTAATAAAAAATAAGGTTCTTAAATAAATTTTTTAAGCTAAAGTACTGTGAAACATTTTATATCATATAACGAGCACTGTTATTAAGTTATTAGCATTATTTTTTAAATAGTTTGCTAAAAGGTTAGGTTATCTAATTGAAAACTAATCATGATATCATGTGACTTTCAAAATAAGTTTTTTTTAAAAAAAACATATTTATGTTAGATAATATTATCTATATCTATATCCACACTATCCACTCTATCTATACTCCACATCATTGAAACAAAAAAATAAAAACAAAAAACAAAAAATGAAACAAAAATTTCTTTCATTTACACATGAAATTTATTAATTTATGAATGCTTTTAAAATGCTCGAAAATATTCGAAAGCATTTTCTAAATGTTTTGAACTTCGATATCGATTTCAATATAATATCAATTATTATATTGAATGTTCAAAATGAGAATGTTCATGGATGGACAAAATTTTCTAACGGATGCAGACTGATATTGATATTCGGAAAGATAAGTATAATCCGAAACACGACGGGCATTGTACTCGAGGAAGCGAGAGCGTGTCGAGGCTTAGCCGAACACGCGAATGCCTGCTGATGTGCACGTGATTTCAACGTGCCACGGTTCCACGGCATCGACCGACTTCCCCCTCCTATGTTTCACTGATGCAGTCACACCACTATGCTATTTATGTAGATACATACATCAGTTTCATGGTAAAAGCTTTGTTTTCTTATTTTGTTTTTCTAATGAGAAAAATTCATTAAAAATAGAATCGAAATCAATATAAATTTTTTCATATTAATAGTTAAAAAATATAAATTTTGAATATTTGCGTAAATATTTTTTTTTATTTATTTTCTATTGCTTGTTCGTTTTATATATACATATATATCATGAGAGATTATGTTTTACTTTTTTATGCGTTTAGATTATAGATTTTGTTTAATAGCGAAAATAACAATCAAGATAAAGATTAGATTTAGATTTTAGGTATGTATAGTTTTCTATGCTGGTATGCTGCTATATGTATAGTTTTCAATCATACATTCATGGGTAAAAGTAATGCTCTCTCCAGTGGAAAATTTTCGCATGGAAATACAATCGTGATGATATGTAATTTCTGTAACGATTACGAAGATTGGTTTTTATAAACATCTTTGTTAATTTGTTGCTTTAAAAAACGTATCAAAAAAATTATAATTATATTGTTTTAAAATATTTTAAATAAACAGCTCATACGAAATTCAAGAAACTTAGATTATATTTTATGTTTCAGCTCAATTAATTTGTTAAAAATAACAAATTATTGTATCACAATAAAAATTTATTAAAAAAAATTTATATTTA